ATTACTTTATTTTGAAGCGATTTATAAAGAAAAGACGAAAAAGACGCGAATTCGCGCTATTCGCGTAAATTTTTGAGTTCTTACGGCGAGTACTGTATGTATGTGTGGTTGTTTGTTTGTTTGTATGTTCAACGGAAAATTCAATATTACCTGAAAAGCATCTTCAGAGTTCGGAACAACTTTGGGATTGGGGCCTGAGATAAGATCGACAGAGGACATATGGGCTCTGCGGAACTCCGCTTCAGGGGGCGGGGCAGATGCCGGAATGGGCTGTGCGAATAGCCAAACGTGTTATTCTGGCTTCGAAAAGATCCGAACATCGGGAAAAAATAGAACAAGGTGAGGATAGGGTCAACAAACTAGACGAAAGAGACCCATCTACTGTGGGCGGAGCATTCTCAGAATGGGCGGTACTTTTCAGATGAATACATAACTCGCCTCAACAAAGGCGTGGAGGCCAGAAAAAAATAAAGGGAGTGACAAAGACCTAATACGTTCTGAGCATATATAACCTTAGCGAAGCTCCGCCGGGGCGTGCATTCAAATTAAAGACCCTTCTTAGAACTAAATATAACTATAACTATGTAATATAACTTGTTAAATTCATTCTAGAACACGATAAAAAAGTGGCTGAAGGTTGTAGGAGACAAGGTTGGCGGGTATTTGCACTGAGGTCGGTGGGGCTATGTTAAATCCATAAATCTAGTCAAAAACGTCTTACAGCATAGGAAAAAAGTGGTTGGAGTTTAAAGAGGGTATGTGGTCAAAGCCCCAAAGTGGGCGGGGTTTGCTATAAGGTCGGTGAGGTTAATTTCGAAAATCCACAAATCTGTTCAAAAACGTCTTACAGCAGGGGAAAAAAGTGGTCGGAGGTTGTAGGAGATATTTGGTCAAAACTTCAATATGGGCGGTGTTGCGCTGGGGTGGGCGGGACTAAGATCGAAAATCCATAGTTCTGTTCAAAAACGTTTTACAGCACGGGAAAAAAGGAGTTGGAGTTTGCACTTAGGTGGAAGGGGCTAAGATCAGGAATTTATATCTCCGCTCAGAAGCTTCCTAGAAGCGTCTCTGCTCAGAAGCTTCCTAGAAGCGGTGCGGTAGGAAGTGGTCAGAAGCTATCCCTGCTATATATGATCCACAAGTTTGATGTGTCTTTTGTACTCATCTATATATGTTTATACGTCCCGAAATCCGAATTTAGCTAAGAAGCGCCTGAAGAGGTGGGGCCAGGAACGGGATGGCGGGTGCCTAGGCAAAGTTCAATAGACAGTGCGCATATCAGGCTAGCTGGGCTCGGTCCATAAGGGGAGCGACAAGCGCTGTCACGGGCGGAGCCACTTTGGGTTTCAAAAAAGCAGCGACACCGAAAAAAATAGATAGGGGTAGGAACGGGTCAATAAATCAGATTAAGGAGCAACACCTGCTATCGGCCGAGCGCGCTCAAAGTGGGAGGTACTTTCCACATGAATTCATTACTATGTATTGATAATCTTCGAAGTAGGTGGGGTTTGCTCTACAGTGGCTGGTGCTACATAGGAATGTTCTGAATTGTTACAGAACGCGATCAAAAGGGATTAGAGTTCGCAGAAAAAGTCCTCAAACGGTGCACAGAGGTTATCCATACTATACTATATATCCTACTTTATATAATTCGCTAAGTGTGTCTGTTGGTGT